CGCTAGTCAGAGGGCGGCGCCAGCAGGCCTTCGGAGCCGCAGACCGCGGCCCTGGAGAGTGGGGAAGGGGCCAGGCTCCCATTCCGGCCACGTCAGCTACACCCCTCCATTGGACCAGCTCCTCGCCCCCAACACCCACGTTCTCGCTCTCCGCCAGTCCTCCCCTCCCCCCTCAGCCCCGGAAAAATGCCTCCAAAGTTTGGAAAGTTGGATGGATGCCAACTCACTGTCCTGGAGGGGAAGAAGCTGTGTTACCTGGGGGAGGAGGTCTGCTGCCCCGCCCCCACGAACACTTAGCTGTGCCCACGGGTGACTCCGAGGAAGGGGCATTCTTGGGTGTGGTGGGTGCCCGTGCATGACGAGCAAGGTCTGGGCTGGTTCCTCTGGGCATGTCCTTCTCTAATCTGGCAACACCCCAAGGCCGGGATGGCATTAACTCTTTTCTGGCTGTGGCCGGAGTGGAGCAACTGTAACCGCCCTGATAATGTGGTTAATCTGCATGTGTGTGTGGTGGGGGTCAGGTCAGACCTAAAAATACCTTCCTCCTCCACCCCCGGCCCCTTGGAGCCTGCGAGGCAGCTGACTGGCCTTTCTTTCAGCTGTCCCTTGTCCTCTGGGTGCCACTCCCTTTTCCCAGCCTGGGGTGGTGGTGTGAGAGCGAGTCGGAGCTTCCTGGGTGATCCTCTTTAAGTTTGTAGGGATCCCCAGTTCCAGAGGTAGGGTGTATGTCTGGTTTAAAGAGGGGTATAGGAGGGAGGATTCTGGGGTTCCCAGGTGCCCTTCTTTGCCATCTATTCATCCTCCTCCTGGTACTTGGGCCCAAGGAACCAGAGATCCCAGTCTGGTCATGGCTTAGGTACCTTCTTTGGTAAAGAAACTCTAGGATGCAGGCTGGGGGCACGGGCTTGGAGGGCCTGAACCCTCATTCATCATGACCCCCTCCTCTGGCCTGGCCTGGGGTGTGTGTGTGTGTGTGTGAGTTGGGGAGGGCTAAGAAGCAGCCCCTTTCAGGAGGCCTGGACATAGCTGGATGTGTGGCTGAGTGGTCAGGCAGTGTCCACTCCAGCCAAGACAGGAGCCTCCTCAGTGAGACTGAGCCAGCCTACCCCAGGGGCTTGTGGGAGCTGTCTCCTAGGCTCATCTTGGGGCAGGGCCAAGGGGCATTTAGATGGATGCAGCCTGGTGGGTACCACGGGGACAGGATGTTGGCAGTGGCCGCTGGGGGTTAGTGGGAGGGTGCTTGATCCCTCTTGCCCCCTTGGGGAGAGGTGAGGCCTGAGAAAAAGTCCTGCCAGGGTAGGGGGTGCTGAGCTTAAATATGCCCCATGGCAGTGGGCCAGGGTTAGAAGTTTACTTACCACACACCTCACCCCCTCCCCGGAAATCTAGTGTGGGGTCTCCTAGGGCTGAAAGCTGCCCCTCCCCTCCCCGCTCTGCAAAAAAGGAAAGCAAGAGTTGGGCACAAGAAAAGCCAAGCGGGGCCCTATTGGCAATTGGCAGTTCCTCTTCTCTCTGGGGGCCACAGGCACACTCAGCCTGCTCACCTCCAGCTGAGGGGGAGCGGGAGAGGGACTTCCCCCAGGTTTCTTCACCACCACCACCCCCCCAGCACTGCAGGCGGCTTCTCCCTTCCCTCCAGGCCTCTGCAGCCTGCCCAGCATCTTAATTAGCTTTGCTGCCTAATGAGCCTCCAGCTCCTCAGTGCCTTCCCCTTCCCAGCTTCTCTGGCTTAGTTTGAGGGCTCACTTGCACTGTTCCCCGACCCCATGGCTGTGGTCTGGGCCCTCCCTCCCCTTTGGGCTGTACCATCTCAGGAAGAAGATGGGGGGCTGTTCAGATCAGGGAATGATATTTCCAAGGCTTCGCTGTAGCTCTGGCCCGATAGGGTAAGGGCTGGGAAGGGGCCTTTCTGATTCCACTCTTGTCCCTTCCTGGCTCCTCCAGGGCAAATACAGCAAGAGGAAAGGACGGTTCAAAAGGTCGGACGGAAGCACATCCTCGGATACCACATCCAACAGCTTTGTGCGCCAGGTAATGGGGGTGCTGGGCCGAGAGGAGGGAGGTGGCTGGCTGCTGGAGTCCGGCTTTGGTGAGCTGGGTCTGAGGCTTTCTCCAGGCACCCTCCCCCATGCCATTTGTCGCCTGCCTGGAACCACCCATCATGCTGACACCCCATGACCTCTCCTGCCTGTACTGTCAGCTGTAACCACGCCCTCAGCCCCCGCCCAGCCCCTCCCCCAGCACCAGGCACCAACCCCTGTTGCTTGCCTGCGTCATCTCATTCAGGGACAGCCTGGCTTGCCTCCTAGCTTGCTTCAGGCTGTCACCCACTCCCCCTGCCGGCTGTCTGCTTCCACGTCCTCCCCCAGAATCTGTGACAGCGTTGGGTAAAGGCAAGTCCTAAGAAATGAGGAGCCAGGACTTTTGAGTCCCTGGAGCCCTGGTCAGGTGTGGGTCAGGGAAAGGCGCTCCTCATATCCAGATGTGACTGTTCTTTAATATGCAGAGAGAACGTGTGTTGAAGGAGGTGGGGTACTGGCAGGAGGGAGTTGATTTGAGAAAGGACTTTAGCCCAGCACCCCTGACTGAAGGCAGGGTCACTGAATAGCTTTCTGGGGTCTTCTGTGCTCAGTCAGGAAGACGCCGTTCTCATCTCTGTTCTAAGTCTCAACCCCAGGCCATCTCAGGCTCAGGGAGAAGCAAGTGGTTGCTATGACTACAGAGCATCTCAACAAAAAAGGGAGAGGGGCTTGGGATCAGACAAGGAAAAGGAGTATTTGAAGAGGAAGTGGGCGGGGCATATGAGGGCAGGGGTAGTTGGGAGGAAGGGCCCTGTGGAGGTCAAGCCCCCTCTTGGACCAGGAGAGGGAGGATGGTACCAGGCAGATCCACCACAGATTGGAGTGAGGCCCTTCTTTTTGATTCCTCTTTCCCCAGCACTTGGCACATGTGAGCCCAGGAAAGGCACCCTTCATCCTAGCATCTCTTAAGTGCACAAACAGGAAGTCCTTTCCTCAGTCTCTCCTTCATCCCTCCTGTTGCAGGACTGGGCTAGGACCAGGCTAGGAAGAATGATGCTGTGCTGTCAGTGTAACCCCTCTTGACAGAAAAAGGACTTGACTCCCTCAGTGTTTGGTAACCCAGGTTGTCAGACCCCAGTCTCTAATCCTTTCTCCTCTCATCTCCCTAGTCCTGACCCCCAGTAGGTGGCAGGGAGTCGGGGCGGGGGGGCAGTCCTTGCCACATCTCTGAGCTAAATATACCCTAGCAGTTTGCACATGTAGCAACTCTGCTTGTAATCTGAGCCCCCTGGGGGAGCGGGCAGTTTGGGCCACCTCCTAGGCCAGCAGGGCCAGGCACTGAGGGCGCTGTGATGGAGGCGCCCAGCCGGACCCTCGTGGTGGTGAGCTGGGGATGGGGGGCAGGGTGGGAGCAGCCCCTCAAGGAAGCCTGCCTCTCTGCCTCCTCACTGTTTCCCTGTCTCCTGCCATTCCTGCCATGTCTGTGTGCGTGCATGTGCGTGAACGCGTGTGCATGTGTGTGTCGGTCAGTAGGTGCCTCTCTGTCACTCTCTCTGGCTCTCTGTGCATCTGTCTCCCTGACTCTGAGTGCTCCCGTCGGGAGGGGTGAAGAGTGGTAGTCGAACTGGTTTCCACGCTCCTTCCTTTACGTCTCTTCCAGCTTCTGTTAGTGACTTCACCCCCCACCTCCAACCTGTCCCCTCACGAGTCTCCCATTTTCATGATTTGGCTGGGAAGAGGATGGACAGCCGCACTAGCTAATGACCAGGGCCCTCTGAGGGAGGTGGGACTGCGTCTTCTCTCCTCACGTCCCCTCCATACCAAGCTAATGGGCATTTCTGGACAAGTGACCCTTTCGTGCCCTCAGGAACAAAAACCCCACACCTCCTCAGTCCTGTTCTTCCCCACGTCACCTCCCATCCCTTGTAGCAACAGCACCGCTGCTCAAACACACAAATCCACGCCTCCTGGCTCCTGCCCTCAGGTGCTGCACACCCTCAGGGACACTGACACCTAGGGTGCCCCCTGTATGTGTTCATGGGTACCTGCTTGCATTCAGTCATGCACATACTATAGCACACACCCTCCTAAATGGATTTGACTCATGGGTACCTGCTTGCATTCAGTCATGACATCCAGCACATACTATAGCACACACCCTCCTAAATGGATTTGAAGTTGCATATCCAAGCGCACCCAGGAGTAAGCGTGTTCATTCACACTGCGGGTCTGGACTATTTGTGTCTTACACATGTGCCTGCATCGCTGAAGGAGTTATGCTCTGGGGTGGTCGATGTGGTCCTGGCGCACCCCCACTTCTGAGCCGGCCTTACCCCTGGCAGCTGCAGCCCTGGCAGTAAGGAAAGGCCTGCCCCATGTTCTGTTCTTCACTGGCCTTTGCTGCCTGCACCATCTCAGGAATCTTGGACTTTCTTTTGTATCTTCTGAGCCTCAGGGTTGGGGCTCCCCTGGTTCTGCCGGGGGAGGTAGGATTCTGTCTTCCCTCACCCTTGAGCACAAGACAGCGGAATTTTTGGCGGCCCCGTCATGCCGAGCAGGCTGCCCACTGCCAACAGTGCAGAAAGCTCAGGCCTATGCTGGTGGCTACAGTCCCTGGAAGGACCCACTGGGCTTCTGCTGAGTCTGTCTCAGCTGGTGCTGAGGGGAGGGGAAGGAACGAGGAGCAGGGAGGGGAGATTCGTCCCCTGGCACTCCTCTATTGCGCTGCCCCTATCAGGTTCCTGCCCCTCCCGGGCCCCGAGCAGCTGTCCTTGGACCTGCCTTAACCCCTGGCTGGCTGCCGTCACCCTTTCTAGGGCCACACCTTTCTTGTGGGCCTGCGAACCTCAGTCCCTTCTAATACCACCTTCTTCTAGCCCTGTGGCATCGTGCTGGGCTGCCTGGGGCTTGAGGCATCCACGATGGGTGGCATCTCCATGCCTTCTGAGGCCCAGGAGCTGGGGAGGCAGTGTTGGCCCTGAGCTGGCCCTGTCTTTTCAGGGCTCAGCGGAGTCCTACACCAGCCGTCCGTCCGACTCTGATGTGTCTCTGGAAGAGGACCGAGAAGCCTTAAGGAAGGAGGCAGAGCGCCAGGCATTAGCCCAGCTTGAGAAAGCCAAGGTGAGCCTAGAAAGACCCTGGGTCAAGTCTTGGCCCAGCCACTTCCTAGCTGGTATACCCGTGGGCCTCAGTGGGCCTTTGTCTTTCACCTATAAAATGTGGGCTAGAATACTGCCTGTTTATACAGTATAATGCAGGGGTCCTCAAACTACGGCCCGCAGGCCACATGCAAATACAAATATTGTATTTGTTCCCGTTTTGTTTTTTTACTTCAAAATAAGATATGTGCAGTGTGCATAGGAATTTGTTCATAGTTTTTTCTTAAACTATAGTCCGGCCCTCCAATGGTCTGAGGGACAGTGAACTGGCCCCCTGTTTAAAAAGTTTGAGGACCCCTGGTATAATGTGTCTAATACTGTTTCCACACATAATAGGAGCTTGAGAAGGGCTAAAAATTTACACTTCTTTTTGGAGTCAAACTTCCTGGGCTGCTCTTACTAACTGTACAGTGATCCTAGGCAAGTCACTTAACCTTTCTGAACTTTAGTCTCCTCATTCATTAAAATGAAGATAATAATACTTCTTAGGATTTTTGTGATAAATAAATGAGGTAATGCATGTGAAACATGTAACACAGTACCTGGCACACTGAACAGTAGCTTATTATTACTAGAGGCCCGATGCATGAAATTCATGCAAGGGGCTCAGCTCTCGCAGCCCTGGCTTCGTCCGGAAGGTCGTTCGGCTGTCCGGTCTAATTAGCATATTACGCTTTTATTATTATAGATTATTATTATTCCTTTTGGGTGTCGTTCTGGGCTTCCCCCACCCCTAATACTTATCACTCCCCAGTGTCCCCCTCCACCCTGAGAGGGCTGAATTCTACTTTTTGCTTTCT